ACTATTCTACAGCTCACAAATTATGATCAGTTGTTAAAATAACAACTAATAATAAATTAATAAGAAATTATCCAAACCTTGACATCCTAACTTTCCAAAGCGCCCACTGAGATTTCTGATCTTATTCATTTTCCTTCTTATACATTATTTTGTCCTTTTTTTTCTATTTAACCTGGGCTCTGTGGGTTTCTTTCTTATTAGCTCTCTGTGACATGCTACCGTATCTTTTTGGCTGGTTGGTTGGTTGGTTGTTTTTTTCCCCAAAGCTCTTAACTATGGGAAACACTTTATCCTGTTACTGAGGACAGTTTTCCTCGGTAGGCTTTTCTATGATAGCAATTGACTGAATTCAGGTGTGACACCACACCTTTGATGCTGATTTGCAGATTTTCATAAACCAAAGACTGCTCTTATGATAGTCACGATGATCACTGTTGTTACGTTTATTTTTAAAGCAGCTCTCAGAATACAAACTAAAATACGATATGTTTGGATGGCAAACAACCCCAGTGTGACTTGCATTGAGTGGCAGAAATACACGCGTTACCATCTAATGGATGATTTATTTAGTTTGCAACCTAAGACCAAACTTAACATTTCATTGTAGATTTTTATCACTTTACAAGGATGCATATTAATAGGAATAATATTTGAGTGGGTTTATGTTTTTATCTCAGAAAATGTTAGGCCCGTAGAGATACTACAAGCTGCCCACAGAACACTAGTGTGAATCATTCCCGAGCTGACATCTCTGTGGGAATGCATTTCAAGGCATATGATTTGTTTCAGCATTGAAAACTTTTATGTCAGTTCCATTTGTTTGTTTTTATAACATTTATGACCTTTTAACTATTTGGGCATGCTCATTCAAAAACCTCAAAATGAGTCTTAATTAAAAAGGGTTGATCTAAAAAAAATACTCCCTCACTCTGGCTAGAATTTCTGTCATATCAGTCCACAGACAAAAACAAATGAGATTTAGTAGTGGCGTTTTCAGTTTGAGTTACTAGCGTGAGCTTGTGTGATCTTGCTGAACACTGCCATTTGCAAAAGAGCAATTAAAACAGATGACAATCTGCTAATCACGCACAGTTCTATTTAGAAATTTAGCAGTATTTTCCCAGTTTGTGTTTTTGCTTGACTTCCTAAGAGTGAAAGGAAGTTTTATGTATTTATATTGTATATAACAGTATGTAAATTTGGGAAACTTTACCACAGATCAACAATTTTCAGTAGGCTAAAAATATACTCCCACGTTGTAAACATTTTTAGAGAACACTCTGTGCGTGTGTTTGTGTAGTATATGTTTGTGTGCATATGTCTATGTTTGTGTGAATAGTATATTCCATATTTGTTTTACATAAAATTGTTTTTATGCAGATAGACAAATTCTGCATTTGTTAACAACAGAAAGTAATGCAACACACATATATAACTTAAATAAAAGTTGATCAGGAGGCAGAGGCATGCTCATGATTTGGGATTTAGGAGTAGTGGCATTTTCACATTGAGTTACGAAGGATGAGCTTGCTTGATTTGCTGATCACTGGTCACCCTCATGGTTTGTAGGTTTTGCTTGTGATTTTAACCTTGAAATCATGAAGGCCTATCAGTGGTAATGCTCCACTGGTATTCAGATAGGAACATTGGCTACATCTAGAGGCGAAGTGATTCAGGTGACTTTGGCAACAACATTGAGAAGTTCCAGTCATTTTGGAAGAACCTCTGAACAATGAGAATCAAGAGAGGAATGGTTAGGAGGAAGGGAATAGGAGTCTGAAAAGCAAAAGGGACAGCAATCAGATATAGGTATTGTATTTGGTCACCACATCGTGGTGCAGAGGTTATCATTCCTCTGCAGAGCTGTGAGTTGCATCTTTTTTTCCTAGCACAGTTTGAAGTCTTCATATTTCTGAAGTGCAGTGCTATTTGCCTGGTGTACATTCTTCATGAGTGGCTACCTGAACTTCTCAGCTACACACAGGAGCATGCTGGAAGAAAAGTATAAAGCCTAAAGAAATGATTTCTCCATCTTCTCCCAAACTCATGATTTGAGAGGGTGGTGGGCAGTTCCACAGATACTGTGATTTTTTTCCGTGTTGGCACTGTAGGTTCTAAAGAAAAGAATATTCATTTTGCACCTCATTCTTTCATGACTAATCTTGAGAAAATAAAGGAAATATTTTACAGTTCTTAGCAACTTTTGAACTCCTACCAAGTATTACTTAATCAAGGAATTGCTTTATCTATATCATAACATGGCAGGATTTATTTTAAAGTTGATGTGTATAATGCTTGCTGCGTTTTCCCATATGTTGGGGGAATTAGTCAAAGACATTAATAGGGAATATATCTGTTTTATAATAAGCCTAGCAATGAAATTAGATCGGCTGCTGAGTTCCAATACGGCATTTTAAGTCCATTATCAATACAGATGATTTAATTGCACTTTTAATGGTCCATCATATAGTTATTTGAGGAACAGGAAGATTTATGCTTGTATATATCCATCATAAATGTTTTTAAGTTATAGAAACAAAAACCCTCTTACTTTGTAAGGAAGATGCTTTGTAAAGCTGCCCATTTCTATTATTGTTCATTGTCTGTTGATACAGAATACAGGATCTGATAGTGCCTTCCATTAAAAGTGAAAAACCTCCTATTGACTTCACTGCCAGATTGGGTCCTTAAGCAGTGTAAAATAGAGCTGACTTTTGAAAATGTACTGCTGTTCTCTGCAGATTGTTCATCTTTTGTTGGCTGCTACAAGGATTCCGCTTCCTACAGCTGTATTTTTAATTGAGAATATGTTCTAATAAATATTTTATTTTAAAAGGTATATGGAGACAAATATATTAAAATAAAATACGAGTTACTGACTGTAGGTTATCTTAATGTTTAGGTGTGGGAATTATGCATAGCTCTCATTAGCAAGTGTGCATTCAGGATAGCCAAAGTGCTGGTATATATGCAGAGTAATTCTCTTACAGAGGTATCCGGACAGCTTTAGTGCTGTAAATGTCTACTGTGCTTATTCAATATGTTTGGGAGAATTATATGCAACTATAGCCAGCAGTAGCTCTGGCTATCCTGTACTTGATGCAGGTTTGCTTTTGAGATGGTTTACCAGGCCTTCAGTTTTACCAAGCTCCATTTCAGAGGTTCCTTCTTTCTCTCCTGAATTCCCATAAGCATTTTGGTTGCTCTTCATGCATCAAAGAAAAATAAAAAGTCTTTAAGTAAAGGCCTTACTCAATTTCTTTTTATCTCTCTTCAGCGCACAAAGACCGTAAAGAGCAAAGAGAATGTGGAACTGGTTCTGAGTGGAAGCACTCTAAGCGGTGGGAAAGTTATCATCTATTCTGCCAAAAAAATCTAGGAACGTTAAAAAGTAGGGAAAAGGGGCAGGAAAATGTGAAGGCAGTGGAGAAAGTAGCAAAAGGTGGTACACCGCAGAGGCTTGCAAAAGAAAACTAGTGGTGGAAAAGGAAAACCAGCGGGACGCTAGATAAGAATCACTGTGACAGAGTGAGCCATTCTACCATCTCCTTTTTTCCCCAGCAGTTCTGGTAGAAACTAGACAATAAAAATTGGAAAGGGGTGTGCAGAAGGGGTGGATTTTTACAGCTGTATGTAAATGTACATTTGTCTGCTTTCAAGTTAAACTTGTCTTTGTCTCAACAGTTACAGTAAGCTTGTGGAAGGGATGCCGCGCGTTTCAATGATAGCCAAGCATTTCAAAAATGTCAGCATTCATTTATATAGGTATATCTCACACAATTGTTTTCCTGTATATCTAATAAGAATTTTAAAGACTGATTTGGAATAAAAAGGTTAGACTAAGAAAACCAAACCAAAACCAAAAACCTCTGAAATCTTATAAATGTTTGTTGATTTCACTTGGACCAAAAGAAGGGTTTCATGCAGACTTCGAGAGTTGAGATACAGCTTGTAATTCCAGATGCATTATATTCTAAATTATAAGTAGTGTTTCGTAATTATGCACTATGGAGGATTAATATGCTTCATAATGTGCTTTACTCACAAGGGAGCAACACTTTCTATCCTACAGGACAGAAAACTAAGAAGTTTTTCTGTCTGTTTCCTGTTTAAAAAAAATAAAAATCTTTGTATTGCTATGAGAGTAGATGCATATAAGATGTTCATGACCCCAGTGAAGAAAAAATTGGTTTATATTTGTAAATTAGGTGAAAATAAGTTATGGCAGAATGTTATCTTCAAATTTTTCTAGATCAACAGTTACTGGCTAGGTGAGCTTGTTGTTTCTCGTGTTCCCTCTCCATCACACACATCTCACTTAAATATATGCTCCTCACTTGGGTGGAAAAAATGTAGAGAGAGATGTGCTTACATCTTTAACATAGTAATTGTTCAGTTAATCTCATTTATGGGGGAAGGAGGCTATACTTCACTGATACCGATTAAATATCCTATACTGGGTTCTATATAAATAGCTACAAATATGCACAATGGTTACATTACATGGTATATTTAACAACATAGCTAAATCAGAAAGTATGAGCTCTGCCTTTAGTGATGGGAGTACTAACGAGTGCACGCAAGAAGATTTTTGCTCTGCAACCATGAAGGAAATAATTGCTGTTCAGCACTATTCACTTAAGTTTGCATATCAGTAAAAACACATGCACAGAGGCTCCACCTACATTCCTAGTGCCCTAGCACTGATATGAGCGCAGCATATATTAAAGCGTTAGAAGGTGTTACAGCATTCACAACTTGCAAAGTGCGTGTAATTTTTAACGGAGTTAATTTGTCCACTGTCAGATGAAATTGCAATGGTGATATTCAGGTTTTATTATTTTTTTATTTTAAACATAAAGTACCATAGGTGGCATTTTACAGACTTACGGGAGGACTACTACTTCTGCTGAGGTTTTTAAATCTTGTGGGTTTTTTCCTCTTTTCGATTCATTGCAGATATAAATATATAAAGCTTTTTTTTTTTTTTTCTATTTTAGATGGAAGACTTTATTTGAAAACTACTGTCATGTATTGAATTTTTCCTGCTGAAGATACCTGTGCTACGGTAAAGAACTTTGCAGTAAGACATTGGCTCATAAGGAGTTCTGTGGAAACAAAGTGTTTTCAAGGCAACTTCCTCAACTTCATATATCAATGTTCTTCAAAAATGTAAAGAATTCTGCAAGAGTGTCCTCCTTTGGTTATCTCCTGTGGCTTGACCCGGAGACCTAGAGAATGTTTGTAAATGTACAGTAGCACTCTTCTTACAGTGAAAAGCTGCGTCTCTACGCCGGACTATTGTATCCAAAATTACAGGCGGGTCAGAACAAGGCTATTTCCTTTTTCAAGGAATGCAGACTCTGTCCTCCTCTGATGATTCTGTATTTGAGCACATCAAATGATCCTTCCAGCGGTGTCCAAGTACACGTACATACAGACTGTTATATCATACCGAAACCAGCAAGACAGCTCAGAAGTGAACTTGTAGAGGGCATAAGAGGATTCTTATTAAAAAAAAAAGTTAAAAAAAAAAAGTAAAAGAAAAAAAATTTGACACATTCAGTTTTCAAACTATGATTGTGGGTTTTCTTCTAAAGACATTTTTTCCACATGCTTTCCAAGAGACCAACACATGTATGTTAGACTACATTAAGTGAAATGGAATTTTGTGTAAGTGAAAAGAAATGCTGAATGTAAACAAACTGTTTTACTGTTCACAAAGTCTCTTTTCCTAAAATAAAAAAATACAATAAAAAGAGTAATAATTTCTCATTGTAAACTGGCAGGGGTTTATGAAATAAAAGACTTTGCTTCTTATCAAACTGTTGGTCACATGTACAGTATATAACACAAATCACACAAGGAAGGTATTATGTATGCAGTAGAAATCTAGAGTTTAGGAAATGAAAATTTTAGATAATATTGTTTTGTCACCCTGTTGGTCAGAAAGACACCTTTCTAGTTTTAACGCATGCAGGCATGTAAATATTTGTCCTGGAGTCACAGTATTACTGAATGAGATCTTAAGCATCTGGTAACGAGTCAGAATTCTGTATCAGCCACTTTTATTTGTATATTGAGCCCTGGTTAGTGCCCTGAGTAGTGCACTTTTAAGAATGGACTGTGGCTGAGCAGCAAGTCAAAATGCCAGAAATATTTTTATATGTTAATGTCATATTACGTCAATGTTGCTAAAAAAAGAAAACCTAACAAACACTTGATGTATCAGTCCAATTCCATGTAGAACTGAGTGATACAGTTGAAGTCTATTGTCCCTCCCACCTTGTCTAAGGGATGGGTGGTTATGTGTTACTTTCACTGTCTTTATGAAAGCTACAATATGTGTTTTCACCTTTGTGCTGATAACTGGAAGTAAGCTGCAACACAGTGCTTATTACATTACTAAAAGTTATGTTCTTTGCTTTGCGTACTTTTGGGTTACCCCTTTAAAGACGGATTTTGTGAATCAGTGCTATTACTGTAAGTTTTGTGATTATGCTTTCTTCATCTAATGTTTTATGCATATAAAATATTATTTATTACATGGAAACATATCAAAACCTTAAATGTCTAAGATGCCTAACTTAAAGCAAATATTTCTTTAAAAATAGTTCTGATTGGATATTAATATTATTTTGTCAAAAAAAAAAAATCTAATGTTTTGTAAACTCTAGCACTGAGCTTCTATAGTTTGTAGGTCTTCCTTGCAATACTGGTACACATTTATTTTGTGCAGTTCATATTTACTCCACCAAAAACCTTTTTTAACAATAGAAAGATGTATATACAAGTTCACATCACGGTAATTTTTTTTAAAGAAATATTGAGCAATATTTTTCATTAAATATTGTTACCTAATACTTTGTAGTGACATTATTTTCTAACCACGATTCTTTCATAATTTTCATAGTTGCTTGAACACATATGGGATTCTGTACTCCAGTTTTTTCATACGCAGTCTTTAAAGGGTTAACAGCTGTAAAGTTAGATGGACTTGTGGCAAGCTTTTGAATCATTCATATCTGAAAGAGAATTAAAAGCCTACAACTGAAATATGTAGTAGCATCTACCATTGCTCTGCTCCTTGCATAGAGTCACCTGTAAGTAGGTTTAGTAGTTTTACAGTATATACTTTCAAGACCTTTGGGAATGCCTCAGTGTTTGGCTTGGTACATAAATGGAAATGTTAAGGAATAAGGGGGAACCAATTTATAAGCTGGATGTTTAGAAGAATCTTGCTAAAAACAGTGTAAATATTACAGACCATGAGATGTTACTGTAAGTTGATTTTTGCCCCTCTTTAGTTATACAGGTTTTGGGTTGGCATTTTGTTTCTGGTTTTCGATTTGGATTTTTTTTTTGGCATAGATTATGAAGAAAAGTTGTGCTCATGTTATTGTTTATATGCTTTTGTTATTTTAAAGATATTAATGTCTAGTTGTTCTATATTATAACCACATTTGCGCTCTATGCAAGCCCTTGGAACAGAACATACTCATCTTCATGTAGGACCTATGAAAATTGTCTATTTTTATCTATATATTTAAAGTTTTCTAAAAATGAAAAAAGGTTATTACGAATTTTGTTGTACAAAATCTGTACAAAAATCTGTTTTTACATCACAATGCAAGAATTGGAAATTTTTCTATGGTAGCCTAGTTATTTGAGCCTGGTTTCAATGTGAGAACCACGTTTACTGTTACTGTATTTAATTTTCTTTTCTTTTCAACAATCTGCTAATAAAACTGTCTGAAATCTCCCTGTGACTTTATTTACAGTTCATCTTTATTAAATTTTCTGAAATGTATAACATCAGAGGAATATTTACGATCTAATGGGAGGCATCTAAAAACAACATAAGTCAGCTCTTTGTAATGTGAGGAGAACAATGCTGAATGATTTTATTTAACATGCAACTGCTTCTATCTCTAATATGAATTACTGTGGTGAAAAACATCATAAAAGCACACTCTGTGGTTATTGTTTAACAAGCAGATTTTCCATATTTTTTTTTCTTGCCAGCTAAGCAAACTGCCCCCATCTACATGATTTATTTATGTACATTTCTCAGTTTATGAAGCTGTTATTTGTACTTTTTCTTTTATATTGTGATATTCCCATGATTCTTATTTCACAAAGCTTTGTGCTGAATAATGTAAAGTGGACACACTGATGGAACAAAACATATTATTCCCCTAACTACAAAAATGCAGGAGTAATCCAGTTGGTTTTGTCTCAGATCTCCTTCACTTGATAAAACATGTTTAGAAACTTTTGTATCCTAACACTTTTTTAACAAACAGCAAGTATTTAAACATTTAAACAGGTATTTGGAGAAGGAAATAATTCTGGCTTAGCATATCTGTAAGTGTTATTGTGACAGGAAAAAAAAAAAAGGTGATTTTTTTTAAGGTAAAGATGGTTATTTAAGAACAAATCTGGAAGTAAGATATTTTTGCTTACAGAAAATTCAAAAGTCAGAGATGTATGATCGATTTTGAGTGTTCTCCCTTATTGCCCTGCCTTGCCCTGCCTTGGCTTGCCTTGCCTTCCCATCCCTTCTCTTCCCTTCCTTTTCCATCCCTTCCTTTCTGAACTGTACCTACATGAATGCTTCTGCTTTCATTAGGGAGCAGGCTTGTCTGGGAAAGCAGAAGAGATTAGCTTTCTTGGACCAGCCCATTTTGTTATCCCTAGATGGCCTGGGGTCTGCAAGTGTGAGGCTTCCTGGATTCCGGCAGGTTGTTGTTGCTGGCTAGTTGATTAGGATTTTGGCTAGCTGTATACAGAGCAATCACAACCTCCTTCCGTCTGCATCAAGATGTCCCGCATGTCTACGTTAGTAAGCGTCCCAGCTATGCCGTAGCCAGCTCCCCTGCTATAAACTCTGGCACAGTTAAAGCAGGTAAGGGAAAAATAAACTCATTAATCTCTCAGTCCAGCTCACTCCCAAAACTGAATTATCTCTACAGTCACAGACTAGCAACCTACCTCTGTGTTTTTAAGCAACCCAGGAAATAGTTTCTTTCAGCAGGAAGGAACCTGCTCTCACATAAGTTCCACCCTACCTCCATTAATAAATCATTGTTTTATCAGTTAACAGTAGCTGGGATTTAACAGGGCTGAGGCTGGATGGGCCACTAGCTAGTCAGATGTTGGTACTCCTTGTTAGTAAAACTAATTAAACTAATTAAAAAACTAAGTAAAACTAATCTCTGTCAAAGCTCAGGTCAAAATCAAGAAGAGGTCGCCCTAAACGTATCTTGCCTATAACTTAGTAGTAGGTTATGGTCAGATCCTGAAGAAGTTTGGAGTCAGCAGCTAGATGCCTTAAGTTTTAGGAAAATCCTTGAGGAACTGACAGACTCAACTGAGAAAGAACTTTTTTTTAATTTTTTTTTTTTTTTTCTATGGAAAGAGATTTAAGGTCGGGTTTTGACCTGAAAGGTAAACCTCTTTATTTGTTGAAGGTGCTATAAATTCTTGAAAATTGTTTCATTTATTATTTGCTTACATGTTATTTGACACAAGACTGTCCAATAAACAAAGCCTGAGGCCAAGATTTTCAAGCGTGACTGCTGATTACAGGTACTTCTAGTTTTGTCGGCCAAACGTCAGACATTTTCAATGCCTCTCATAAAATAAAATGTCCTAGCTCAACGGTTCTGTGAAACTTACTTCTTCAGTAGCTGCTGTCTAAGTCATCCACAAGATACTGGGGAATTTACTAGTGTGCCTTTGCTGAGCCGGAGCTCACCCTGATCAATGACGATGGTTCCACCATCGTCAGTATCACACCATTTCAAGCAGAAGCCTCTTCTGTAAAAAGCTTCATTTTCAAAGGGAAAAAACCCTAAGACTTTCTGAAATTCAAGCTCTTAAAAGGAATCAAGTTAGAAATAAAAAAATTTAGGCATCCAGAGTACTTGGAAGCTTTGCAGTGTTCATCCAAAGGTCAAATACTACTATGCAATTTGGGAGAATTTGCACATAATCTGTGGATAAACGTGATTTCTTCATCCAAGTTATAGTAACAATGGTTGTCATAGTCCAGTGAATTGGTTAATTGAGCCTCTAAATTTGGATCATAAAGACAGAGCCAGATTCATCTTGCTGCGTACAGCAAAAGGACAAGAAGAAACAGATACCAGTTGCAACAAAGGAAACTCCAACAGGATATAAGGGGGAAAAAATCAAAATGAGAGTGATGAAGCACTAGAACAGTTTTCCCAGAGAAGTTCTGGGATCTCCATCTTTGGACATTTTCAAACCTGAGGTGAGCAAGTCCCTGAGAAACCTGATCTAACTTTGCCCAGTTTAAACCAGGTTAGCCGAGTTGACCTTCACAGGTCCCCTCCAACCTCAGGTTTTTATGGTTCTAGAACTACAAAACTTATACACATGATGCCCTTGTAGGCGTAACACTTTCTGTATCCAGTTTAGCAAGGAACAAAATTTTATCCTATAAATAGGAGTTATCAGATCTAGAATAGAAATTGCTGGGACATGTTTAAGGATTCACAGCTTTTTGATCT